ACACACAAAATCGCTAAAATCTGTTCAGAATGTTGGTTTGTTGAAGTACGGAAGCTCTTAGCCGAACCGCTTCCAAGTGTTTTTAGTCCCGTTTTAGTGCTAAATTGTAAATGCAGTCAATATGGGCGAGTGGACTGGTAAGGGCAACATATGTAGACTGGAGATATGCAGCTTGAATTAGGAGGGTGCTGACATCGGCAAGTATGGCATATAGCTACTCTCAGCAACTGGCGCAGTTCCACGCTGGCGACTTGTGCTTTGCTTGATAATTGGGCTCAGCCAAATGGCTCTGCAGTGCTTTCATGCGCTGCTACGTCAGTTATTGTTTTCTTCAAATTGGCAGTTGTAATTAGCTGTGGAAAGCATTGTGATTGTCCAGGTTGTAAATTTCGCTTTTTCCCTCGGTTTTGAGTGAATCCGAGAAACTAATAAAGGTCTGGTAAGTTTGTGGGCAATTAAATATGTCAGAGCTTATAAGCTGCAGATGAACGATCAAGGAAGCGAAGCGAATGCGCGGAGTTCACTGGAAGATTTACTGAAAGCAATGAACAAATGGCCGGTGAAAGATGCGAGTGAACTGGAAGTCGATCCATCTGCCGATCCTGAGCCACTTTCCTCATCCGAACTTAACGCATCTCTGCAGACGTTACTGTCGGAGCCAGATACCAGTGCATCAGATGTGGGCTATTCAAGAAACCCAGTTACTGTTTCCTCATCAACCATCACTGATGAGCAGGTGAGGCCTAGTTTTCATGCGCTGTTTTGTCTTCATTGTTCAATATGCCTTAAGCGGTTGAATTTCTTGAGCATTCAGGCCAGTAGTCAGTCAGACTTGTCGCTTATGTGCCCAGATTTCCTGGAATAACGAACTCCACAATATCGCAATGTCTGTGTCTGTAAAAAAACTCTAAATGGTTCTTTTCCTAGGAGTGGTTTCACCCCTATGGATTTAAGCTGGGAGGTTGTGATTCAGTAGGCTGAAAAAGCCAAGCCAGTGATCTGTTTTTATGCGTTTTGTGCTGTGTAACAGCAGTACAAAACGCATATTGTTACGGGGTTGTCT